CCTTCAACCGTGGCTACTTGTTCTCATGGGGATGAGGATGACCCAACTTGTTCCCGTGGAATTGAAGAAGGCCCAACTTCCTCATTCTCTTCATCGCTCTCCTCTGACGCCTCAGAATCATCACTATTAGTTGAACCGGGCGCCACCGTGTCTTTCCCAATGGTCATTTTGGATGCCCAAAACTTTGTTTCTTTCTTCACCTTGCCATCCACAGTGGGGATCTCTGGCACCCCTACAGCCCGGCACAATCTAGTGACCTGATATGGGAAGAAGAACCCATACCTACTCAGTGTGGAACGGATGAACATCTCAAAATGAATAACCTTGGCCACATCAAAATCTTGGCCATTCATAAAGCACCAGATCAAAGCAGCTCTCGGACCATTTACCTCAGTGGTATTGTGCAACGGCAGCAGTCGACTATGATGTAGAACCAACACTTTCCTTCAAAGGTGAGTGAGGCTGAGTGCAACTTCGATCCCGGTACAAACCACAGTACCTCTTTGTCTGGTACACAGGTAGTTCTGAAAAACAATTGCTAATTTGGTTGTTCTCGCCGGTAAGTATCATAGTAATCAACCTCCCGAGTGAATACAGGCAAACGATACACTCTCCTGATGGCTTCAAATCGAGGCATTCACCTACTTTTGTCGCACAGTGCAGATGTGATCCTCATGTTCAGAACAGTTGGCGTAGAATTCCCTAACAAGCATCAAGTTACCGTCCTCCGGCTCTTCGAAGAAGATGTCTAGCTTACGCCTAACCAACTCCCTATACATATTGGGGCACTCAGCCTGGAGGGATCCCCTGTCAACTCCCCTTTCCGGTACAGGCTTTCTAATAGCCTTCCAACCGAAACGGTCTTAGGCAGCTCTGGAGACAAACCTGGTGCGATCTAACTGAGCTGAACTGGCTGGTGCCCGTGCCCGGGACGAGCCTCCATGACCAGTTGATGAAGCATCGGTAGTGCATCTCTTCTTTGAAGATCTCATGGTACCTACACGACAACCACCGCTATCAATAATCGGCGGAATATGTGAACCAAGGGCGGTTACTCAGACTTCACCCGCACCATTGGTCACAATTTATACTAAAAAACTCATTGTGGCAATTCAACAAACACCTAATGTGCATATGCCCCCCAACGTACCCAAAGACTCAATTAAACTTCCATACTTCACAATTCAATAATGTCTTCCCAACCCAACCAACCTAATGTCCTCACATACCAACATATATACCAACAAACAAAAATAAAGATAAGAATACCCATACTTCTACTTTCCTACACTTACTAAAAAATCGGGAAAAAAAACTAAAAAAGAAGAAGGTAGAAGCATGTACTTACTTGAAAATCTGTGAGAGGAGCTTGGGTAGTGTTGAATAGAGAAGAGGGAGAAGGGAGGAGATTTGTAAAGTGAGAAAAATTGGGAGAAGAGGNAGAGAAGAGGGAGAAGGGGAGGAGATTTTGTTAAGTGAGAAAAAATTGGGGAGAAGAAGGGGGAGGGGTCTGTTGTTTTGTGATTAGGGGGAAGGGGAAGGGCTTTAGAGTTGTTTTTTTTAAGGGGGTGAGAAAAGAGTGAGGGAGTGGGCGGATGGTTGGGGGGGACTTAATTAGAAAAACTTAATTAAAAAGGGGAAAAGAGAAAAGAAAAGAAAAGAAAAAAACTAAAAAAATTGAACCTGAACGGCGCCAGATCCGCGACCGGATCCGCGGCCACGGACACAACTTCTGCAAAATCCGCGGTTAGATCCGCGGCTGCGGATTAAGCATCCCGATTTTTTATTTTTGCTTTTTTTCGCACTTTTGCCTATCTCCGGGATAATTTCGTCACCCCGCTTCGTTCCTGCACCATAGTAGATCGATCAATATTGTCACCGTTCAAAAATCAATTACAAAAATAAGAATAAAGAAAAAAAATATTGGGTTGCCTCCCAAAAAGCGCCTAATTTAACGTCGCGGCACGACGATTTACAACAAACCATGGAGTGCCTCCCAGGAAGTGCCTGATTTAACATCGCGGCACGACGCAGGCTTTCATTATTACTCTTCGCTCATATATTGGGGCTCTTCCAAAGATATCACCACTTTATCTGAAGGGTCCTGACCATCGGGACCTCAATTTACCAGGAAACAGTCTTAGTCTCGAGTTGTATAACAACGCTAGATCTCCGGGATTGAAGTTCCGATCTAGAATATGCTTATCGTGCATCATTTTCATCCTTTCGTTGTACAATCTTGCATTCTCAAATGCATGGAACCTGAATTCCTCGAGTTCATGTAACCCAGTGAATCTACTGGTGCCGCGGTCTCCATATCCAAATTCAACTGCCGCAGTGCCCAAAGGGCTTTATGCTCGAGCTCTACCGGAAGGTGACATGCTTTTCCAAACACCAACTTGTATGGTGACATACCAATTGGAGTTTTAAATGTTGTGCGGTACGCCCATAATGCATCACCCAGCTTCTTCGCCCAATCAGTCCTTGTGGCATTCATTGTCTTGGTTAGGACACTTTTGATTTCCCGGTTTGACACTTCAACTTGCCTGCTTGACTGTGGGTGATAAGGGGTGGTCACCTTATGACGAACTCCATACTTTTCCAACAACTGTGCGAACACTCTATTGCAAAAATGGGTTCCACCATCACTGATCATAGCTCTCGGGGTGGCAAAACGTGTGAAGATGTTTTTCTTTAGAAAGCCTGTCACCCCCTTTGCATCATTGGTTGGGAGAGCCACAGCTTCAACCCATTTGGAGACATAGTCAACTGCCACCAATATGTATTTGTTACCATACGAGCTGACGAATGGCCCCATAAAGTCAATCCCCCACATGTCGAATACCTCCACCTCTTGAATAGTAGTCATCGGCATCTCGTGACGTCGAGATATGTTGCCTGTCCTTTGGCACTCATCGCAACTTTTCACCCAAGCATGGGCATCCTTGAACAGAGTTGGCCAATACAAACCCGATTCCAACACCTTAGCTGCTGCCCGAATCCCTCCAAAGTGTCCACCATATGGTGAAGCATGGCAAGCCTGCAAAACAGAAGGTTGATCTTTCTCGGGGATACACCTCCGGATCATGTTATCTACACATAATTTAAAAAGTAGAGGTTCATCCCAATAATAAAACTGACAATCGTGAAAGAACTTTTTCTTTTGAATTGAAGATAGTTCATAAGGAACAATACCGCTTGCTAAATAATTAGCAATATCAGCATACCATGGTGTCTCCTCCATTGTCACTGCTAGTAACTGTTCATCCAGGAATGTCTCTGTTATATCTTCAACCTCTACCTTCTTTTCAGCTCCTTCCAACCTTGAGAGGTGGTCTGCTACCTGGTTCTCGGTCCCTTTTCTGTCACGGATCTCCAGATCGAATTCTTGTAGCAAAAGAACCCAGCGGATCAAGCGTGGCTTTGAATACTTCTTTGCTATCAAGTACCTAATTGCTGCATGGTCAGTATAAACAATAACTTTTGAACCAATCAAGTACGTCCTGAATTTGTCGAATGCAAAAACTACAGCCAACATCTCATTTTCCGTAACAGTGTAATTGAGTTGTGCACCGCTTAGGGTTCTGCTTGCATAATGAATTGGGTGCAGCAACTTATCCTTTCGCTGCCCCAATACTGCTCCTATAGCATAGTCACTTGCGTCGCACATGAGCTCGAACGGTTGCTCCCAGTTGGGTGCAAAAATGATGGGTGCAGTCACCAATCTCTTCTTCAGCTCCTCAAACGCTAACCAGCAATCATTAGAAAACACAAAGGGCTGATCCTTTTCAAGGAGTTTGCATAAAGGGTTAGTAATCTTAAAGTAATCTTTTATGAATCGCCTGTAGAACCCAGCATTCCCAAGGAAACTTCTCACTGCCTTGACCGCAGTGGGCGGTGGCAACTTCTCAATCACGTCAACCTTAGCATGGTCAACCTCAATTCCTTTGCTGGAAACTCAATGCCCCAAGACTATCCCTTCTTGTACCATAAAATGGCACTTCTCTCAATTCAGCACTAAATTTGTCTCCACATATCTTCTGAGCACTCTTCTTAAATTGTGAAGACAGTCCTCGAATGAATCCCCCACCACGGAGAAATCATCCATAAATACCTCCATAATGTCTTTAACCATGTCCGTGAAAATGGCTGACATACACCGCTAGAATGTAGCCGGTGCATTGCAAAGTCCAAAAGGCATTCTCCGAAAGGCAAAGATGCCATACAAACAGGTGAATGATGTTTTCTCTCTGTCTTTGGGGGCTATTGAGATCTGATTGTACCCCGAATATCCATCGAAGAAACAGAAGTGAGATCGCCCAGCCAACCTGTCCAGCATTTGGTCAATGAATGGCAAGGGAAAATGGTCCTTCCGGGTGGCTGTGTTCAATTTCCGATAATCCATGCAAATCCGCCATCCCGTGACAGTACGAGTCGAGATCAACTCGTTATTCTCATTTTGTACGACCGTCATTCCTCCCTTCTTCGGCACACACTGAACAGGGCTGACCCAATTGCTGTCAGAGATGGGGAAGATGATACTCGCATCTAACCATTTGATCACTTCCTTCTTCACCACCTCTTTCATATTTGGGTTCAGCCTTCGTTGATGTTCTCTGGAAGGTTTGTGCCCTTCTTCTAAGAGAATCTTGTGCATACAAAAAGCTGGGTTGATACCCTTTATGTCTGCCGTGGTCCAACCAATAGCAGTCTTACAGTCTTGTAACACCTGTAGGAGTTGCTCTACCTGTACAGCTCTCAAATCGGATGATATAATAAAGGTAAAGTAGAATTATGCCCTAAGAAAGTGTACCTGAGATGCGCTGGAAGCGGTTTGAGGTCCAACTATGGTGGCTCCTTTATCGATGGTTTCGCAGGTGTTGTTGTTCTTTCTTCTAAGTGTAGGGGCTCGAACTCGGGTTCCCTTTTCCAGAACCCTTGACCTTCAAGAGCCATGGCCCACTCTACCAACTCTTCACCATCCACATTTTCCAGATTCATCAAGCAGGCTTCCACTCCCTGACATTAACAGTCTCATCCTCCTCTTGTAGTATTACATCTACGGCCTCCACTAATGAGCAATTTGCAAATTCGATGGGTCTCCTCATAGATTGTTGAACATTGAATATTACCTCTTCATTTTTCAACCTCATTTTTAATTCTTCAGTCTCACAATCAATCAATGCTCTCCCAGTGGCTAAAAACGGCCTGCCCAGAATGATTGGTATCTCTTCATCCACTTGACAGTCAAGAATGACGAAGTCTGCAGGGAATACAAATTTCCCCACTTGAACAAGCACATCATCAAGAATTCCTGTCGGTCTTTTGACTGTGCGATCAGCCAGTTGCACCAACATTGAGGTTGGTCTAGCTCTGCCAATGCCCAGTTTTGTATAGATTTCCAAGGGCATCAAGTTTATACTGGCTCCCAAGTCACACAATGCTTTAGCAAAAGCATATTTCCCAATGGTGCATGAGATAGTGAAACTACCTGGATCAGACACCTTTTGAGCCATAGGCCTTGTCACTATCGCGCTGTAGGTCTGCGTCAGAGTTATAGTGGACAGGTCCTGGAAGTCAAATTTTGGCGACATCAGGTCCTTCATCATTTTTGCATACCATGGCTTTTTCCTCAAAGCATCCATCAATGGAATATTCAATTGAATTTGTCTGAGCATTTCCATGAATTTCCTGTATTGATCATCTTTATTTTGCTTTGCCAACCTCTGACGGAATGGTGTAGGAACCAACCTCTGCCCACTGCTTTGTGTCTTTTCTTTGCTGGAAGCTTTTTCTACTACCTGTTCTGGGAGTTTCTCACCTTCCTTCTCCTTACCCTTGTCAACATGTGCTTGCTCGATTACAACCTCGGTGAGCTCTGCTGACTCATCTATCTCTAATGTAACTGGAGTAGTTGGAGTAGTTGGCGTTGTCTCTCTCCTAGATTGAGCAACTTCTTGCTCCCTATCTAAATCTCTCCCATTCCTGAGACTCTACTGCCATGAGCTGATTTAGGTTTTGCTCATTTGGATTAATGTTTGCATCTGCAGGCAATGTTCCTTGTGGGCTATTGTTCAAGGCCATAGATAGCTTTCCCAATTGAGTTTCAATGCCTTTGATTGCTGAATCATGTGCAGCTAACTTCTCTTGCATCTTTCCAATTGTCCTAAAGAGTTGTTGCAACATACCCCTGATTTCGATCATGTTACTATCCTGCTGTAGATGAGGTGGTTGGTAGGTCAACTGTTGCCGGTGCTGCTGATTATAGCCCTGCTACCTTTGATAAGGCACGACTTGGCCTTGTGGTCGTGCTCCTCCTGGATTGGGGTTGTGTTGTGGCTGGTTTGGTATGTACTGCTGGTTTGATGTTGGTCCCCATTGCTGCCCACCTTGCCTCTGACCTCCAAAATTATTGACATAATTCATGTCTTCTTTGAAACCCTGGTTGTCATTCTCTCCACTCCACGAGCACACATATGACTGGTTTATGCAAGGAGTACATAAGCCTCCATTTGTGGTATCAACAATGTGCACCTGCTTCATACCCATCTCATCGATTTTCTTTGTCAGCAAGCTCATCTGGGTCATAAGAGTGGCTATGTTTTCTGCATTTGTGTTGTTTGGGTCAAGAGCGACAGAATGCACTATTGGAGTGAGTGTTGTGTCTCTCGTCATCCAACCTGAATTTTGAGACATCTTGTCAAGAAGAATCTTACTCTCTGTGAAGGTTTTGCTCAAGAATGCACCCCCAGCAGAAGCATCTACATTGCCCTTCAGACTGTTAGCCAAACCCATATAGAATCTCCGTCCCAGCATCTGATCCAGAATGCCATGCTGAGGACACTTCACCAACATACCCTTAAACCTCTCCCAGGTCTCTTGCAAAGTCTCAGTTGGATTCTGCTTGAATTGCAATATCTCATCAATCTGCCTCGCAGTTTTGTTGGGTGGATAAAACTTGTTTAAGAACTACTTGACTAGCTCCTCCCAAGTAGCAATGGAGTTTATTGGGAGCGAATTCAGCCAATTTTGAGCCTCCCCGATCATTAAGAATGGGAACAGTAATAATTCGATTGCCTCATCAGTCACATTCGGTTGTCTTTGAGTGACACATATTGATAGAAAGTTCTTCAGATGTTGTTGTGGGTCTTCGATGTATGACCCGGAGAACAGACCTTACAGGTGCAGCATGTTGTTGGTAATCTGAAATGTCTCCACTTGTATGGGAGGAACCGCAATTGCTGTGGCCAGGTTATCAGCAGTTGGTCGCGCCCAATCATAAAGATTAGCTTCCGGCAGAAGAGGTGCTACCACTCTGACGTTTGGGTCATCTCGATCATTCCTGTTATTCCCGTTGACGTTTTCTACGTCACCCATTTAAATTTAAATTTGTTCGTTTTGTTTCAGCTGTTTGCTTTTCTTGTTAGCCCGGTTCAATGTCCGGAATGCTTTCTCGGGATCTGAGAGTCCTTCAAAGAGTTCACCAGTTCTCAAAGAGCTTCTAGGCATGCACCTGAGTCATAGAAGAGTTCGAACGTGAGAATTTCAATGGAAATATTTTTAACACCACAAAAAATTGATCTAAACTAGTAATCCTAGAAATTCTTCCAAGTTGCAATAAATAACATCGTTAGTTCCCCGGCAATGGCGCTAAAATTTGGTCACGCCCAACTATGCCTTATAAAAAGGACTAAGCGGTCGCTGCAAATATATAATCCGGTTCAGTCCGGAGTCGAATCCCATAGGAAAATAACCTATTTACTAAAACTTTTAACACTGCTTATGACAAGCTCAAACAATTCCTGGATGCAAGATTTTTAAAGGATAATGAGTAGAATTTAGTTAACTAAGGAAAAATAACAATAAAACTAGCAATAATCTAGAATAGAGTTGAATTCATTGGTAAAATGGTCTAGGGTTATTGATTTTTCCAATTTTCGGATTAATTCCTGAGACGTTAGCTATAATCTCGCCGTTACACCTATAAGAAATATGAGTTTTGGGTTACTGCAATTATCTCTCGATCAATTACGATAATTTACCAGAAGCATTCTCTCGAACTACTCTAGTTAACAATTTATGCAACTCAGAATTATCTCACCAAAGCTTCGTTATCTCTAACCCTGCTTTTAAATTCAAGTAATTAATCTCTTAACTTACCCGAAAATGGTGTTGTTCAACAACAATCTAACCAAGTGTTCTTTCTCAAGCAACACAAGATAACTAGACACGATTAATCAAGGGCCCTTTCAATTAATCACAAGACAACGCGTAGTTGAACAATCATAGAGTAAAATGGCTCAATTATGTCAAAACAAAGTCAAGACTTCATCCAACAATTGGTTTCATCAACCCTAGATGACGGGTTTAGCTACTCATGCTAATATATAAAAATTCACTATATAAACTCATAATCAACAATGGAATTAAAAAGAAGAATATAAAAACTCTAAGGAAATTGTCTGTCTTTCTCCCATGTTCTTGCCTTCAAAATCTCTCTAAAAACAGCTCTCTTTCTCTTTTGGACGAATTAGGCTTCATATAGGTTTAGGTTAGTCGCCCTGGAAATTACATAATTGACCCTGGGTTCTTGGCTCCCGTCAGCCCGTCCGCAGCCGCGGATTGGACCGCGGATCTGGTAATTGTTCTGTCCGCGGCCGCGGATCTGACCGCGGAGCTGGCACGTGATCTTCTTTCTCCTTTTCGACCGTGCTATCCTCCGATTGGCCTTCCATGCTCCATATTGACTCCAAAACACTCTTTAGCTTCCTCCTAGCTCGGAGTGGCTCCTGCAAAACGTAAAACTCTTAATTAGAGCATTTTGTTATCTTTTACATTCAAAAAGTGCAGCCAAATTAGAGTGTAAATAGTATCTAAATTGCATAACTATCGTCTACTATCACTACTCCTTATGTATGGAGGGGTCTTGTTCCCGAACACTTCGGGGAACCTAGTCAGCTTGAGATTTCTTCATCATCTGGAGCAGCTAGATGATTTACCCCAATACAGCTGGGGGCTGCTGTTCTCGCCTACTTAAATAGGCAGATGTGTCGGGCGAGCTTAGGCACCCAACGTGATGTTGCTGGATTACCGCTACTACAGGTGACAACATATTCGAATACTCTATTCATTTTAACAAACCTAGTAAAAATATATCTTAAATTTTACGTTAACTTCTAATGTTAGGTTTTGGCCTAGGAGCGGTTCCTGCAGTTGCAGCCACCTCTGCCAGCATTAGCTCCGGATGTACCACCAACGTTTCTCCCTCTAGCTAGGAGGTGGGTTCTCCGATGGGGATATACGCGTGAGTACGAGGCTCGGCATAATCTCCCCTTGTGCAGGGTATCTTGGATTTGCTGGAGGGCGCACAGGTAAATGTATACCTAAGTTTACCTGGTATAGCTTCACATATGTTGCATATACTCACGTTTTCTATTGTTACTTAATAGTTCATCTGGACGCCACACAGCGACGCGCTCATAGCTGGCTTGCCTGCTTATTGCTCGGTAGGCCGACTTATGTGGGCCTCTTCCGTCCCGTTGATGTGCCTTGATATTTTGGAGCATCATGCCACCGAGCGGGTACTTTGCTAGTTTGGCCGTCCGCAGCTCGTACCGACACCGCACACCTGGAAGACCACACATTTCCAACGGGATGATCATTCCAGGATGGACCAGGCATATGTGGCATGGCTAGAGGAGCAGATCGATACTTGGGACCGGCGATTTGACCTAATTCCTCCACCCCCCCCCCTTCACCGAGTCGGCAGGATACTGAGCATGATTATATGGGCTGGTACCGCGGCGATACCCGACTTTTTGTCGGGAATCCCATTCATCGAACTGGCGGTCGGTACGTTCCATACGCCGGGAGGCACGAGGCATTGGTATGTTATTTGATATTCTTACTTATAAATGTAACCTAGCGTTCCGTAATTTATATTTTACACGCAGTGCAGGCTATTGGCCTACATTTATTCTACCAGTTAGGACTGCAGATGCAGCAGCATGCCGGCGAGCGAGCGGCCATTTTGCACGAGTATGGCCGGCAGGTTACAGAGCTGGTTGTCCGTACACTGCAGTGAGCCCGAGAGGATGAGCGCTTAGTACACACCCTGCTTATGTGGCGCTATAGCAGTACCATAGAGGTAGGGTTGTCCCACGAGGTAGGGGACAACGAGGCAGGGCTGTCCCATGGGGTCGTGGGGGTCGGCGAGAAGGTGGTCCCCAGAAAGGGGGCGTTGAGGCACCTGTTGAGGATGTTGGAGCTGATCTACCGGGTGACCTCCATGAGCCTGACGCGCATCACGGCAGCATGCCGTAATTCAGCCTTCAGCTGCCGCTCACTCTGGGGACTTCGCAGGTGACCCCGTCAGATCCATTGTTGATCACGGGTACGAGCATTACCGGAGAGGATTGGGATTAGTACTTTCCAGGTCCATCGACTGATGCTGAGGATCGGCCGACCCGAGATGTGGATGGTGGGCGCCGGCTGAGTTATGGCTCATCATCGAGGGGTGCTGGGGATCTTTCACAGGCGCAGGTATGTTTGTATTACTATTAAATTTAAATTTGTTTTTATCTCATTGATTCGCCATAAATAACTTTATAATTTTCTTATTAAGGCTTCATCCCCGCCCGTCACGGAGGCCACTTTGTGCGATGCTGACCTGGATGCGACGGATGCTTATATTCAGGAGCCCGACGAGACTATGGTAAGAAAATTTAAATTTTTTTTGACTTAACACGTACATTACTAATATATATTTTCATATACTGAGCTGACTTATTCTTCTGTAGGTTGTTGCTGGACCGACGACCCCTTATATCGATCCTGCCAACACTACTGACGATCATGCTGCAGCGCATCCTGCGATAAAGAGGCAACGTGATGAGGATGATCCTGATAGCGTAGCCGGGAGGGATGGGATGCGCCTCAGGCCAGCGGCTGCATTGAAGCACACAGGCTGTGGGAGACATTGATTTTTTTTTTTGTATTTTATGTAAATAATAACAATATTTTTTTATGTTTACATTATATGCGCATTATATTTTTATTTCCCCGGTTCTTCTTTATTTTAATACTACAACACAAACACAAACATAACAGCTTAACACAATTTAAATTCAGTACAACTAATGAAAACACATGACACGGAAAACATAAAGATAAAGTACTACACTCAACACACACATGTCATTGTTTAGTCACGATCGCGGTATTCTCTGCTCCTACCACTTAAATTTCTTTTCTAGCTTATTTTTTTCTTCTTCCGCCTCTTTCAGTTTCTCCTTCAACGCCGCAATTTCTCGTTTCATTTAAATCTCATCACGTTCGTATCTTTTGTTCATATCATAATACTGTAAAGATCGTTTGTAGCATTCCTGCTTACATGGTTCATCAAGCCATACCTCAAAATTGCAATAAACTCCGTTGTTGCCTCCAAACCTGTTTACACACATCCAATATCTGCGCCCAGCATGACCACCCACCCAACAGTACGACACCATACATCATTTGCCACAATAGCACATTGGTACATAAATGCGTTCAAACATTTGTTAATGAAAAAAAAACCTGCTTTTATGGAAAGTGTTGCTATTTGTTTTGGTTAAGCGCAGATAATAACTAAAATGCGCTATTTATTTATAGGCAAGGCAACACACATAACGTGGTATGTAACCGCACTATGCTTCGCGTGCTAATGATTCTTTACGGTACAATACAGCTTTTCCATGTGAGCAGCTTTTGCAGAACGACAGCTTTATTAGGTGGACAAGACAACACACATAACGTGGTATGTAATCGCGTTATGCTTCGCGTCCTAATGATTCTTTACGGTATAATACAACTTTTCCAGGCGAGCAGATTTTGCATAACGACAGCTTTATCAGGTCGACAAGACAACACACATAACGTGGTATGTAACCGCGCTATGCTTCGCGTGCTAATGATTATTTACTGTACAATACAGCTTTTTCAGGCGAGCAGCTTTTGCGGAACGACAACTTTATCAGGTCGACAAGACAACACACATAACGTGGTATGTAACCGCGATATGCTTCACGTGCTAATGATTCTTTATAGTACAATACAGCTTTTCCAGAAGACATCTTTTGCAGAACGGCAGCTTTATCAGGTCGACAAGACAATACACATAACGTGGTATGTAACCGCGCTATGCTTCGTGTGTTAATCATTATTTCGGGTATAAGAAAGCTTCTTAAACTGAACCAAGTCATATGTATCTCAAAAACCTTTTGAATAAACATTACAATATCCATTAAAAAAATGCCGCTAACATTTAACAAGTGGTTCAAAAAGAGGAAAAAGGGTGAAGGTAGTTCAACAGATCCCCATGGATCACGTCTTAACAC